AATTCATCTTTGTGTGATAATTGGTCTTGATTTTTTTTTTAATCTACTTAAAATACAATTGGAACTAGTGCACCTTTGCTCGGACAAAGTAATTTCTTGTAAAAAAAAAAAAAAAAAAAAAAAAAAGAAAAAAAAAAATTGAACGAATACGAAACAAAAGAACGGATCTTGTGTAAAACAAAATAATTTCTAAAATTTCCAGTACTCGTGAATTTGTAAGAGACGTTTAATTCGTATCAAAAGAAGTCCTAAAAATTGATTTTGTGTCAAGTATTTTTATATGATATAACGATATTAATTTTTTTATTTAAATTAAACAAATAGATCGTCTGTAAAATAATATATTTTTCTAAAATATTAAAATAAAATATCTATTTATTATTTATTGAACAGGTTTCAATTTTTATCAAAAAATATTCCAAATTTTATCATGTATTATAATGTATATTTTGTAAATATATCCTCGTTAATTTTCTCGTTATATTAAAATCACAGATAAAGCTAATATGATCTCTATAAAACGAAATAACTTCTTCTACTACTATAACAACAAATTTAACATACATAACACAATAATACTGATCAGTATTTATTAACAATTTTATCTAATTTCGATATTCCATTCGTTTTAAAAATCATTTTTAAAATCACAAAGTTCATACGTTTATATTTAAAGAGAAAATATATATTTTTTTTTTTTGTTAGTTACTGTTTAAAGACCGTGCCACACGATGGAATGAATCAACAGCGAGAGAGCAGCTTCGAAAGGTTCTCGATTATTCGAGAAACTTGGCACTTAGATCCTCTCAGGCGACGCCTTTTGCGCTCCCATTTCTTCGATGCACTTTCTTCGCTGATCTCCGTGAAAGTCGAGAGCAAATTACGCCGAGGCGAAACCTCGCGTCGAATTAGAACCGTGCGGAACGTCGAATCTTTCGAAGAATTTCCGCTTTTTTCCTTCTTTCCTCGATGCTTTGTGATATAATTTCCACAATTATCATCTCTCTTGATTACTAACAATTCCTTAATAGATTTTTTCAAACTTATTATTAAAAATTGTCAAAATTTTTTTTATATAATTAATATTTTGATATATATTTTTTTTTTTGCATTTTTATTGATTTCTACGAAATATTTATAGGAAAGGCACGTTGCCTTTATTATCATAATTCTAAAATTTCAGATATAATTTC